GAATAATTTGGATTGTGTAATTTAAATTTGATTTTGAACTATTTTGATAGATCATTTTAGAAAATTTTATTTCAATTTATCACTTATGAACAATTTAAAATATATTAAGAACGATTCATCCAGAAATTTTAAAATTGAAAATTTATACATGATCCTTTCTTGAAGGTAAGATATTGCTTAATGATAATGGTGTTTCGAGGGCCCCTAAATTTCTAGGTCTAATAAATCGAACGAACCATTAGAGTTGGCAACAATAAAATACTTATCATTGTATGATTGACCACTAGAAGATTAAGGCTTTGTTTACTTGAATGAATTTGGAGGAGATTTGAGAGGATTTGAAGATAAATTTTGTTGTTGTTTATTTGAGTGGATTTGGAGGTAAGTAAGAGTGGATTTGAAAGTAAATTTTTTTAATCTGTCACATTAATCAAATCCTACACTAATTCTCATAAACTTTACTTCCTTCAGAGTAGTGGAAACGTTCGTGAGTTCCTTCAATTTTATGTTGGGCTAACCTACTCCGATCTCCTTGAGCTCGGCATTAAGGAGAGTGTTCCCAACTCCCACTCAAACCTTGCTAAGTTGGCAAACTGGGATTTTGACTCTCACGTGAACCTCGTCGAGCTAGCAGGCTGGGGTCTTGGCTCTTACACGAACCTCGCCAAGTTAGCAAATTTTGTCTTGTTTGGGAATTATAGGCGCCCTCTTCATGGGAGTCAGGCCGAGGTCGAAGAGATGATCTCTCATTCTACAAACCAATTAGCCTTTGCTAAGCTTGTGTAGGTCGACTTGTTGTTGAGTGCACGAGACCTCAAGCTCGGTATCGTATTGCCTGTGTTGTTCGTTGTGTTATTGTATGAGTGTTTGCATTTACTAGTAGAGGGTCGCCACCTAGTTGACTTCTATTTTGTGGGAGATTTGTGCGAAACTTTGAGTGGTGACTGTAGGGAGGTGAAGCCAAGGAAACGTTTACTAGGGTCCCATAGTGGGCGCCAAATAATCTTATTGAGATCTTGAGCTCGAATCTGCAAACATGTGGCAAGATCCTAGTGGTAGCTAGAATGCTCTTGATGATTGAAATGAAATTCCTTACTGCTCAAAACCTGTAAAAGACTCTCTGACGCTCGAGCCAAAAAAATGAGTTTGGATCTTTTATGAATGCAGTAGTGAATATAATTGATTATTAAGTGAGTATTCCTTGATAAATACTAGTTTTATTTATAGGATCAACATAGGTTATAAACCTATGTTATCATAAATAACATAAATAATAACAATAATACCAAATTGTCGATATTACTTATAAGAT